TGAATTTTTTCTAAGCTCTATACTAAACATTAAATCTGTTACGAAAAAAGAAATAAACAAAATGAACACAAAACGATCAGCTTTAAAAAAGGACTTGTAACTGGAAAAACCGAATGAAAAAAGAATGTTAACAACAAATACTTTTTCACATCCAACCCAGTTCTGCGGAATCAGAATCAACGTTGAGTTTAAGCAAGCGAATGAGCCAATTGGAGTAAAGTGCCATGCAGATTAAAATTTTTCCCACTTGTGACGAATGCAGCTATTGATTTTTTTGCATGCTAGCATTCTAGTTAACATTCGTGTCAGTCAGCTGTTGGCTCTCACGCTGGCCAATAGACTCTTCCTGCCTATTCGTGGCAGCCAGCTCTCACTCTGGCCAGTAGAAAATAGCCACAAACTACATGAAAACTGCCGTAGAAGCATGAAAAAATCGATTATTTCCACTATCGATAGGAGTTGGGAAATGCAAAGTCGGTCTTGCCTTCCTGCTAACTTGGAGCATGTGCATGTAAACTTTGGTGCAAATCCGTCGAAAATTGCGGCCGTGCATTCGTTACACACACACGCATCCTGCCTTTTATAGATAGAGATGTCTACGGTGTCTCTGTTTAGTTTTAACATTTTGGGGTTTTTTTCTAAACTCTCCAAATTTCCTTTATGATTGCTTTGTTCTAAAGCTTTTGTATATCGTGCTCACTCCTCAAGCATTGAGTCCATGCTCATTAAGGCCCAACGATGATGGGTGGGCATCTCACCCGCATAGAGGAGCACCGCTTGCTAAGACGTCTGGTGTACGGAGAGCTCCTGCACGGCAATAGAAACCAAGGCCATCCAAAGAAGCGGTACAAAGACACCGTGAAAGCAAATCTCCAGGGATGCAAGCTCAAACCCAAAGAACAAGAGTAGCATGCAAATGATCAACCACGTTGGAGAATCACAATCCATGACGCTGCAATCGCCTTCGATAATACTCGACGCCGGAAGCTCACAGCTGCCAGGGAACAATACCACAGGGCATCGTCAGCAATGATTGCGACAACGGACTTTCAGTGTCCCCGCTGTTCCAGACTCTGCGCACCCAGCCTGGGGTTGCGGGGCCACCTCCGATTTCACAGATGACATGCAGAAACGATATGTCATCTTCAGATGAGATGGACAACCAATAATATCCGTAATATTAGTACAGTACTAAGAAACAGAAAATCTTTGCTACAAACAAGAAAAGAGTACTAAACTGCTACGTAATATTTGTCCTCCTATATGACAGTGAGTGCTGGATGATCGCAAAGATGAAGAAGAGACTTGAAGCAACAGAAATGTGGTTCTATAGAAAGATGCTGAGGATGCCATGGGCCGAACATATAAACAACGATGAGGACATTGAAACAAAATGGAAATGTATACTTGACACCAGAGGTAGTTGAAATTACTGGGACACGTAATGAGGAAGGAGGGCTTGGAAAATATGATACTCACAGGGCGGGAAAGAGGAAATCAGAGTGTTACATATTTGAAGAGCTTGAGTAAATATATGGCAAAACGGTTTGGGAGAAATAACAAAAACACTTAAAACTTATTAAGAGCTACAAATGTCAGGAAGAAGTGGAGGGCCATGAACGCCTGCATCCTGAAGAGACACGGCACATAAAAGAAGAAGGTCCGCCTTTTTTAGCGAATTTTTGTGGGTAGCTACATTTAGATTAATCATTATCTATGTATATCTTTATATGCGAGAAAGTGTCAATAACCAAGTGGGAACGAAATTAAACAGACAAAATTTCTAAAAACGTTCTTTTTCATTTTATATGCCGCGTCTCTTCAGGACGTAGGCGATCATGGCTCTCCACTTCCTCCGTCCCTTGTAACTCTCAATAAGTTTAGACCCTCTGCCACCTCCCCCAGACCATGTTCTGTCATCCACCCGCCCAAGGCTCGTCAGGTATGACATGCGTTGCTTTCCCTTGTCCCTCTATTCGACCTGTGAGTATCAGATTCTCCAAGCCCTCCTTTCTCATTACGCGTCCCAAAGATTTAAGCTGTATCTTCCAGTATAAGCTTCCTCCTTGTTTGCATCCTCTACAAAACCTCATCGTTGCTCACACGCTCGGTCCATGATATCCTTAGCATCCTTCTGTAGAACCATACCTCCGTTGCCTCGAGTCTATCTTTGAGGAGACCGTCCAACATTCACTGCCGTAAAGGAGGACAGATGTCACGTAGCAGTTCAGTATTCTTTTCTTTGTTGCCAAAGAAAAACGTTACTGAGACGTAAATTAATTGTGCCATTGAGAAAAAAAAACGAATAGGCCGCAGTTTGCCTATGACTGGACTAATCTATCAGCTATATACAAACGTTTTCTCAGACCACTGATTAAAAAATGAATTCAAATTAATGAGTCCTGTGGGTTTTGAAGAGCACTGTCCTTAATCGGATTATGTAGGTTGGCGCTGGGCAACCACAAACAACGAATTGTACCAACTAACAGGAACCACATTACATGACAACTTTCAACAGCAGTAACAACAAAAATGGATAGCACATGTAAATAGAAGAGAAAAAAAATGACATAATCAAGGTGTTGACTTTCCATACGACTTCAAACAAAAGCTTAGGAAGGAAACCCCCTTATTAATACTGGAAAGAGTGATAACAATTAGTGGACATATGAAATTTATTTTCCTGAAAAACAGTTTTAAGAGAAAGATTTTATAAATCTCAACCGATATTAACGCTAATTCTACGATCAACAAATGCCGAAAGTTTCCTTATAAGGAAACGGCTATTCGCACAATTACTATTAGCATTTATAATGTGCTTTATAGAGTACAGTGCAACCTCGTTTCTCGAACGGCTCACATGTCGAACAAATCGGTTTTCGAACAGAAAATTCGAGATGAAAATGTCTTGATTATCGAACGAAATTTCGGTTCTCGAACAACATTGCCGAACTAAGTTAACCTGAACAGAATCATTTCTTTATCGACCGCCATGTTGTATACATTCGTGTATTGTGCTGTATTTTTCTTTTCCAATTTTATTGTACTGTGACTTTTTTCTCTTTATTAGTCCCCGGTCATGGCTCCAAAGAAAGCTAGCAGTGATACTGGTAACGGAAAAATAAAAATTAAGAGAAAAACAATTGTTGATGATATTGTCTTTCCCTATTCAATTTCATATGGCAAAATCAACGATCTATATTCTTATATATAAAGACATGATCATCTCTTTATTTATAATAAAGAGACGATCATGTCTTTCCTTCTCTCTTTCCTTCTTCTACTTACGCCATCAGCTCTCCTACATACAGGTACGGTAAAATTGAAGTATTTGTCTATATTTTATCTATTTAGTATTGGGTTTATTTATTTTTTTCTTAGATTTAGTGATTTTCATTAGTTCTGTGTATAAACTTATGCAAAGTTTAAATAAGCAATCATCTTGGGACGAAAAACGGATTAATCCATTTTACATTGATTCCTATTGGAAAAATAGTTTCGGATTACGAACATTTCGGGTTACGAACGGACTTCAAGAACGAATTAAATTCGTGAAACGAGGACCCATTGTATTTTAGTATAATCTATTCATATTTGTCTCATGTTTAAATATTTTCACAGAAAACCCCACAATATGATTCTTATCATATTGTGGAGGTTTTGTGCTTTGTGTTGATCAATTTACGAGCGAAAGTTTTTGTAAGTGCCCATTATGGACATCTGTATTTACAAAAGTGTCGTCTTTTATAAATATGGATGTCCAAACGCGACATTACCAGAAAATAAGAGCGGTAACTAAAGCAAAGTTAAAATTTATTGGTAATTTCCTAACATTTCCTCAACAAGCATCTTCGTAAGGAAATTTTTAGGAATTATTTTTTGTATCGCTTAATGTTTATATTAATTATAAGGACAAATCCTCGAAGAATTTATATCATCGATTTTTTGAGTCAAACAGGATCCCCAGTTAAAAAAAAATGATTCTGAAACGTAAAATAGAAAAAGGCAATAAAACTAAGACATTATTTAGAAAAACTTTTGATTTCTTTTATGAATATAGATTATGGACATTTTTCGATGAATAATGAATTTTTGCAAGAATTGTTTTCATTTTAAATTTTAATTACAATAATTTATAAACTTATAAATATTTCAAAATTCTGTATGAATGTGTCGCGTTCAAGTGACCATAGGTAAGACTTATAGTCAAAGTACATAAAATTCAATGTTAGATTACTTAGAATATTTTCTTAAAGTTTTAAGATTACTGTGCAGTTAAACACACACACACACACATACATACACACACACACACACACACACACACACACACACATATATATATAAGGCGTTCACGTTATATTCGTCAATAGTTATAGATATGTCCACCTTAGAAAAACTTCCTAAACATAAATCTAGCGAGAAAGTTGTCAACACCTCATGAAAGATACCCACTCCGTGTTAAAAAATGGTTTTTAAGATATTTTAAACTAAAACTAAGTACTATTTGTTTCAAATCAGATTAATTAAACTTTAAATCAGTTAATATTCCTCAAATAAATTTTCAGAATAGTATGTTTTAATTTTAAATGATTTTTTTAGTAAAGAGAATTACAGTGTGTTGACAGATTTGTCAATATGGACTATTTTAGCGTTTTTACTGAAAATAAAGAACTCCTTCCAATGTATTTGAATTCAGTTCGAAATTCAGCAAAGTATTTTGCTTATTGGAAATATTAAATTTAATCTAATTGCTTGAAATTAAAACTAAAATAAAAGCTTCAAGCAAAGATTTATTTTATTTTCAAAAATGCATTTTAAACTTTAGGTATCGCTTTTCTTTCGAGGGACTTACTATATGGTGACTGTCAGGCAAATTAGAAAAAATATTTCGCTATGATGAATCAATGGCGATGGTGGCCATTGATTTTTGTAAATTGATTGACAGTCACCATATCTTCAAGGACCCGTGTTGCAACCAGTGAATTAGATATGCAAGTATGACACGTGCTATTTCTGCTGTAACCATTCCTACGAAGCATCGTCAAACTCAGGCAAATGTCATGAATGCATCACGTGAACAACACCTGACATGGCCGACTTGCGTCCCTGCTCAAAAAGTGATTCATTGTGGGAATGGAGTTCTTCCTACTTGATCCCCTTTTATATTATTATTACTATTTCTCTTTTTCGTAACCCCTCTCTCTAGATTTCATTTTTGTTTCGGCCGTCTCCCTCTTCCGACTGATTCTCTTCTTTTTCGTAACCCCTCTCTCTAGATCTTACTTTTGTTTAGCTTCTCTCCCTCTTTCGGCTAGACCCCCTTTAATATTACTCGTACTATTTCTCTTTTTCGTAACCCCTCTCTCTAGATTTTACTTTTGTTTAGCTTCTCTCCCTCTTTCGGCTAGAGCCCCTTTAATATTATTATTACTATTTCTCTTTTTCGTAACCCCTCACTCTAGATTTCCCTGTTTTTTGTCCGTCTCCCTCTCAGCTTATCAGCACTCTTATTTCTCTCTCTTTTCATCATTTTGTCGCTTGTTCCCCTCAATGAACATGCACAATCCCCTTGCAAATAATTTTACCACCCAACTTTTTATATTTTTTTACTTCTTCTACTTAAAGACTACGGCTATCTTTCACTCACATCTCCGCTTTTTCTACATTTCTCTTTCTTTTTTTCTTTTTCTGTTTTTCTGTTTGTTTCAGCTTCTAATTTACAACAAGTAAAGAGTCCAGTATCCTTCCGCCGAGATCAGGTTTTTTTGGCCATAGATGTCGGTAGTTCATACTTAGCACAGTTACGTGTGTTGAAATTTCAGTCCAACATCTGTTCCTTTCATTATGTGATTATTTTAGTGACCGGAAAAAAAAGCCATTGTTAAAAAGAATGTCATTTTTTTTATCAATTCGCATCAACCAATGCGATAATGCCATCAAAACGCAAGGGAGAGAAAAAGAAAGAAAAAAAAACTTTAAAAGGGACCTGATACCCAATACAAAACAAGAAACAAGGGATAAACCTCTACTCCTGTTCAAAAGACCGAAGAGAACTGTTAACCAGACGATCGGCGAACCTAACTAGCCCTGTTGAAAAATAAATAGTAAATAAAATCCCAGAGTTTAGACGAAGACGTTAGAAGTATAGAGTTTCAGTAGACTTTAGAAGGAATCGGAAACCCAATCCTAAACGAGGCCCAAATAATAAACCCCTACTCCTGTTCCAAAAAAAAGACAAAGAAAAGTGTTAACCAGACGACTGGCGAACTTATTTACTCCTGTTGAAGTAAAATAAATAGTAAATAAAATTTCAGAGTTTAAGCGGAGACGTTAGAAGTATAAAATTAACGTAGACTTTAGAAGGAATCGGAAACCCAATCCTAAACGAGGCCGAAGGAATAAACCCCTACCCCTGTTAAAAAAAATCAGTGTTAACCAGACGATTGGCGAATTTATTTACTCCTGTTGAAATAAAATAAATAGTAAATAAAATTTCAGAGTTTAGGCGGAGACGTTAGAAGTATAGAGTTGAAGTAGACTTTAGAAGGAACCAGAAACCCAATCCTAAACAGGAAACAAGGGATAAACCTCTACTCCTATTCAAAAGACCGAGGAGGAGAGTGAACCGGACAAAAGAAAAAGTCATAAAGTATGCTTATGCATTATTAGAGTAAGAAAAATAGCCTTCAGGAAAAAATTATAACTTCGATTTGTAGGTAATAAAAATCATAATACATCAATCTATTAATGAAAATATTATTTGACTGATTCATAAATACACCCTTGTGTAAATTAATTTAAGCAACCGCTTTAGTTTCCATTCTTTCACTATACAATCAGTTTTAGACCCACTAGAGTGACAGGGTGTAATTTTTTCTAAGATTAGGTCATTTGCAGTGGCGTACAGTAATATGAATCTATTTTCGGGGTATATGATGAAAATTGTTTGGCCTTGAAATTGTTTGGCGTCATCCATGACTGCATCAGATTTTTATCCTGCTCAGATATTATTGTCTCGACTGTCGATAAGTTGTCCTACGGCCATTATCTGTGATGGAAGAGTACGAAAAAACTGTTAAAAATTATTGGCCAACACATTTTCATAGTGAAAATCATTTCCAATGGATTTTCAAAGTAAAAATCATTGACCAATACGTTTTCATAGTTTAAATTTGTCTCCAATATATTTTCATAGTAGAAATCATCGTTTCATGAAGGGAAGCCACGTCACGGTGGTTGGAAAATGAAAATACATTGGCCAATGATTTTTACTATGAAAATGCATTGGCCAATGATTTTACTATGAAAATGCATTAGCCAATGATTTTTACTATGGAAATGCATTGGAAATGATTTTTACTATGAAAATGCATTGGCCAATGATTTTTACTATGAAAATGCATTGGCCAATGATTTTTACTATGAAAATGCATTGGAAATGATTTTTACTATGGAAATGCATTGGCCAATGATTTTTGTAAGAGTGATATCGCAGAGAGCGATGTTCACTTGGCATTGAAGGAGGTCGGCAGTGGCAAGTTTCTGGGACTTGATGGTCTCGCCTAGGAATTGTACTTGAGGCTGTCGCACATCTTTTTTTTTCGATTTTGACTGTCGTGTTCAACAACTGGTTCTGGCAGGTATCTGTCCCGACCGGATCTCCAGGGATTTGATCACGCTCTTTAAAAAGATCATTGGTGGTTGGCGGGATTTAGATGATTATAAGCACATAACTCTACTAAACACAGAGTTAAAGTAACGAAGCGTTTGCAGTCAGTCGCCGAGAGTTTATTGGGAGCCGAGCAGACTTGTGCTGTGAGGAGACGATCAATTCAGAGCAACCTGCATCTAATCCGTACAATCCTAGAGGGCATAAAAGACGACAATTAAGTCGCGCTGATAAATATGGATCAGTCCAAGGCGTTCGATAACGTCGACCATTTGTACTTGTCTGTTGTCCTTCTGACCGCCGGATTCAAACCTGGATCCGCCTCCTGTATAGCTCCCCCATTATTAGCTGTCGAACCTATTTAAATACATTGACGTTGGAGCCCCTCCTTCGCCGGCTTAGAGTACAGGGCGTGCAGTCCGGCCCTACGTAGAATTGCTGTCCCTGGAGGGTCTCAAACCAAGGTGTCCGCGTAGGTCGATGACGTATCCATTTCCGTGTCATGCCGCAGCGATATTGAGGTGGTACAGAAAGCGCTTGAAGGAGAAGGCGACGGGAGCCAAGATTAACCGCAAAAAGTCTTCCGGCTTGCGGTTAAGTGCCTGGAAGGGGGTCGTGCTTCCGGAGCCCTTTAGTAGGACAGTCCGCATTCTTAGAGTGTGGTTTGGGCTCAGGCTCCAGCTGAAGAAGAATTGATCCGAAGTACAGGCAAAGGTAAGAGAGGCGGTCTGAACTTGTCTCCGACGACGGTTATCCGTAAACTGTAGGTAAATAATCATTTCCAAGAATGTGAAATCAACATGTGGGACCATAATGTCGACTTGAAAAATACAGTTTTAATTAAAAGGGGTAATAATTTATTACATAATCTCTCATGTTATATTTATGTTCAGGATCTTGTAACATATCTTCTTTTAAACAAAACTACTGCTATTACAATATGGAATATTTCCAAAGAATAGCGACAAGGTTTTTTAGGGACTGGGAATGTTTTTCCGTTCCCGGTAATATAGACAAACATACATTTTAGATTACGTTACCGGTTTCGGTAAAATAAACTCCAAGCTATTTTACCGGTATTTTTTTTTTTATTATTATGAAGGCAGGTAATGTTAAAAATAACAACACAGAGATTTAACACAGAAGTTTATTTATTTTAACCATCAATTGTTAAGACAATTTCAAATCTTTTCCACCATTATTTGTTAAAACACAAACCAAACTCAGTTATTCATCATCAATTATTAAAAGAAATATAGAAGTCTCTGAATATTTTAAGCACTTCAGGCAGAGCAGTCTGCAAATCCAAAACTTGCCCTTGGGCATGGTTCTCTTGCCAATATACTTCAGATGCACTCACTGAAGAAAACAGTCACAGTCCACAGAATCCATGTTGTTCATGTTCTGACCACACAACTCACGCAACCATTACGCTAACAATCTCAATTATAATATATTCTTACACTATTTACATTATTCGGACTATTGTCCTCATCGTTGTCGCCATATTTATCACAAAGTTTCGGCCGCTGTACGCTCCGGCTGTTATAGTGGAACACACCTATTCTTTAGTTAATAGACTCTCCCACCTATAATAAGTAGGAGTAGTAATAGGGAGTTGGTCGGTCAGTCAGTCGATGTCGGACGACCGTTAGTCGGATACTAAGAGTATCAGCGACCACCACTAGATTTCCTGCGTCATTACCTATTATATCAAAGTCCTAACGTTTTGTATGTCGAACCTATTTTAGGACCGACTTAGTGAAATACAAGCCTCCACTGTGAAACTACAACACCGGCCTTCTTCAGGTGGTTGGAATGTCGAACTGAACCCTTTATTTCGCTCACTGGGGTAGACTGTTCTAGTTCTACGTGCCATGTCTAATGGATGACAGTTATCAGTTATCTCCTGCCTAATTCCCTCTTCAAGTTCTCCACCGCCTTAGATCCAGTGACAGGACCCAAAGAGTGTAAGTTCAATACCTGGTTAAGGCGGTGGAGAATCCATATAATATCCTACAATGTCTTAAATGAAACTCTATTCCGAGATATAACTTCAATAAAACTACAACATAAAACACACATATCACCGCCTTTAGTAATCATGTCCATACAAACATGTATATGCACGAAAGCTGCGTATCATCTACCATGTATTCAATTGTGAAAGCAGAATAACATGTGTCATATTTTTATTTCAAAGCTCCCAAGAAAATTTAATTTCGGCATTAAATGACCCATGAACGAATTGATATGCCGTTAAACAAACGAATCGAATCAAAGCAACAAATCCAAATCTACCATTTCTCTGGGCATTGAATATTTCTGCCACCTATGGTCTGGTGCTCCTGGTATATATCTTGAGATTCTTGGCAAAATCCAAAGAAGAATCTGCAAAATTATCGGTTCTGACCTGGCATCTCGGCTTCAGTCACTTCCCCACCGCCGTAACGTAGTTTTCCTGTATCTTTGCTATAAATATTTTCATGATAATTCTTCGAATATACTTTCCTCTTTAGTATCTCGACCACATGAATTTAAGCTACCACGCTGAACTTGCAAGATGTAACTATGATATGCTGGTAAACAAAATCAAACAACTAACATGGAAGAGCCTTTTCATGGCATTATTCTTTATAATATCCTACAATTTTTTTTTAAAGAAATCAAACTGTATTCCAAAATATAACTTCAACAAGACTATAACATAAAACACACATATCACCGCCTCTAGTAATTATGTCCACACAAACAAGTATATGCCCAAAATATGAGTATCATCTACCATGTATTCAATTGTGAAAGCAGAATAACATATATCGTATGTATATATCGGATTTAGTATTGCTGTTCAGTTAGTATCATTAATATCTTATATAAATGTTCCATATTTACAGACCTTTACTTTAAAAGTATAAAATTATGTACAAAATATTTGTAGTTGAAAGAATAAAATTACATATAAAATATTTAGATTTTGGCATTAAATAACCCAAAGCGGTTGATATATAGAGACTGAAAAAAAAACCAACGAACATGTAAGAACTCGTTTATGACATTCATATAATATCCTACAATTTCATAAAGAAATCAAACTGTATTCCAAAATATAACTTCAATAAAACTACAACATGAAAAACACATATCACTGCCTCTAGTAATTATGTTCACACAATCATGTACACTACAGTTCAAAAGTTTGAGAGACCCCAGGTAATTTTTTAAATTGGCTCAAAAAATAGTTGTTTTGTACTTTAAATAATAGAAAATTATTATACATGGTTAAAAAGTGAGACATGATTTTTTTTATTAGAAATTTTGTTCACAAAAAGGAAAAAAAAAGGTGCACAAAAAGAAATTTTTGTATCTGTCAATGTACACTATTTACATTATTCGGACTATTGTCCTCATCTTTGTCGCTATATTTATCACAAAGTTTCGGCCGCTGTACGCTCCGGCCTTCTTCAGGTGTTTGAAATGTCGAACTGAACCCTTTATTTCGCTCGATGGGGTAGACTGTTCTAGTTCCACGTGCCATGTCTAATTGATATCAGTTATCAGTTATCTCCTGTTAATTCCTCTCTTCAAGTTCTCAAGGACGCATGGCACAGTGGATAAAGGCATTAGTTATATCCAGTGACAGGACCCAAAGAGAGTGAGTTCAATACCTGGTTAAGTCGATGGAGAACTTAGAAAGGGGAATTTTAATATTAAAATGACCCATGAATGATTTGATGTGTCGCTAAACAAATAAATCAAATCAATCAAATCATAATGTGATACAGTGGTATATTTGTTTTGATTGGTTTATTGATTCGTTTTTACGGCTTATCAACCCTTTGAAGGTTATTTAAAGCCAGAAAATATTTTTAGATTGTAACAATTTGGGGAGCGATAATAATGATTTAATGATACAAGTCTTAGTAATTAACCCTTAGCTGGGGAGAGAAAATGTGGATTCATACCTTTCCCAAGGGTGTTTGCACATAAGTGAATATAATAAACTCAGCTTGAATTGGAACTCAACTCTCTTATTAACAAATTTGAACCATTATCATTACACCACCTCCACATCAAGTCTTACATCACCAGGTATTTGAAAGCAGGCGGCCATCTAGGTACTGACCAAGTTCGATGTTGCTTAACTTCGGCGATCGTACGGGAACCAATGTTTCAACGTGATGTGGCCGTGAGCCAAAAAATCTCTTTGAGAACAATGCTTGTTTGTTATTCCTTTCTTTTAGTAATTCTAATCCGCCCGTTGTATTTAGGTATTGGTATACCACAAGTATAGCAACGTCCATAATGCCTATGATAATGCCTATAATGGGGAAATGCACGGGAAATATTCTGTGTTCCCTGGACCCCACACCTATAATACATTTTAATTTTTGTCCATTTTACGGTTTTCTGTTTACCATCCACCACTAATTTTCAGGGACATTATTTACTTGTTTTTCCATTTTCAGGGACTTATTGACTTTTATTTTTAATTTTCAGGGACTTTATTTTTGATGTCTTCAATTTCAGGGTTTCATTTCCCTTTTTATCAATTTCACGGAAGTTATTTACTTGTTTTCAATTTCACGGACTTTATTTACTTCATATTTTAATTTCAGGAAATTTATTAAAAACGTTTAACAATTTCAGAAATCTTTTTTTAATTTCAAGGACGTTATTTTTTCATATTCTCCAAGGACTTTATTTAATAAATGCCTGGTGTTTTTATAAAATACAATAGCACAAAACAAATGGCTTAAACATTTTGCGGATTCTATGATGATTTTGAGTTTCTAGATAAAAAGTGAGAGCATTTTCATTCTTTCATTTTAACAGGCAAAAAAGAAAAAATGTCGAGGTCAAAAGCGTTCCTGTTGCTCAGGAAAATAATAATTGACTTTCAACTTTTTTGCTTCAAGAGGGTTATGATGAAAATGACACTCTTCATTGTTGAATGGGATGAGGATTTTCCCAAAAGAAGAATTATGAAAGAAAAAATGAACAGTTCCATAGAAAGAAATATGGAAATAAGTAATATGGAAAGAGAACACGTTTAGGTGGGAGTAGAAAGGAGGGGAAGGAAGAGAAACAACGGGAAAGAAAGGAAGATATTTAAATTGAAAGATGTAGAAAGTTAAACGAATTATAAAAAAAAAAACACTTAGAAATTTACGAAAAGAACGAAAGAAAGAAAGAGAGAGAGAGAGAAAGGGGCATAAAAAGGAAAGAAACGTATAAGAAAGAAAAAGAAAGGAAATGAAAGAAATAAAGGAGAAAGGAAGGAAAAAAGAAAAGTATGAGAAAGACAGAAAAGTGTAAAAACAATAAAAAAAATGTATTTGAAGGAAAAAAAGAAAGAAAGAGAGAGAGAGAAAAGGGCATAAAAAGAAAAGAAACGTATGAGAAAAAAGAAAAGAAAGAAAGAAACATATAAGAAAGAAAAAGAAAGACAAAGTAAAGAAAAGAAAGAAGAAAGGAAGGGAAAAAGAAAAGTATGAGAAAGACAGAAAAATGTATTTGAACGAAAAAAAGAAAGAAAGAAAGAGAGAGAGAGAAGGGCATAAAAAGGAAAGAAACGTATGAGAAAAAAGAAAAGAAAGAAACTTATAAGAAAGAAAAAGAAAGGAAATGAAAGGAAGGAAGGAGAAAGGAAGGAAAAAAGAAAAGTATGAGAAAGACAGAAAAGTGTAAAAACAATAAAGAAAAATGTATTTGAACGAAAAAAGAAAGAAAGAGAGAGAGAGAAAAGGGCATAAAAAGGAAAGAAACGTATGACAAAGAAGAAAAGAAAGAAAGAAACTTATAAGAAAGAAAAAGAAAGGAAATGAAAGGAAGAAAAGAGAAAGGAAGGAAAAAAGAAAAGTATGAGAAAGACAGAAAAGTGTAAAAACAATAAAGAAAAATGTATTTGAACGAAAAACAGAAAGAAAGAAAGAGAGAGAGAGAGAGAAGGGCATAAAAAGGAAAGAAACGTATGAGAAAAAAGAAAAGAAAGAAAGAAACGTATAAAAAAGAAAAAGAAAGACAAAGTAAAGAAAAGAAAGAAGAAAGGAAGGGAAAAAGAAAAGTATGAGAAAGACAGAAAAATGTATTTGAACGAAAAAAAGAAAACTGGAAGACATAAATAAATATACGAGAGAAAGAAAAAATGTTCGAGGAAGAAAAAAAAGAAGTCATGAAGAAAAGAAAAAAAAGAAATGTGTAAACTAAATAATTATATGAGAAGGAAAAAGTGCATAAGGAAGAAAGAAAAAAGAAAGAAAGAAAGAAATAAGGGGAGAAAGAAAGAGCACATAACAAAAAGAAGGAAATTTATAAGAAAAAAGAAAAGCTCAAAAAGAATAAAGAAAGAAAGAAAGAAAGAAAGAAAGAAAGAAAGAAAGAAAGAAAGAAAGGGACATGTATCAAAGAAAGAATTTTGTATGAAATAAATATATGAGAAAATGGACATAAGAAAGAAAGAAAAGATGTATGAAAAAGAAGAAAGAAAGAAGGCATAAAAAGAAAGAAATATGTGAGAATCAAGGAAAGAAAGAAAAAAGAAAGAAAGGTAGGAGAAAGAAAGAAAAAACCTAAAAAGAATAAAGAATGGATAATTGTATGTGAAAGAAAGAAAAAGAAAAATGTTTGAAAGAAAGAAATATACGAGAAAAAGGAAAGAAAGAAGGAAAGAATAAAACTAAAAAGAATAAAGAAAAAAACCAAATATCAAAGAAAAATATATGAAATAAATGAATAAATATGAGAAAAAGAAAAAAGCACGCGTGAAAGAAAGAAAGAAAGAAAGTACCTAAAAGAATAAAGAAAGAAAAATATATGAGAAAGAAAGGAAACGTATAAAAAGCATGAAATAAAAATATGAAAAAGAAAGAAAGAACGCATAAATAAAAGAAAGATATGAAAAGGAGAAAAAACTTGTAAGAAAGAAAGAAAAAATTGATAAGAGATAAGAAAAAGAATGAAAAATGTTATTATTAAGAAAGAAAGGGAAAGAAAAAAAGAAGGAAATAACACAAATAAAAGAAAGAAACGTACGAAAAGGGAAAAACATGTAAGAAAGAAAGAAAGAAAGAAAGAAAGAAAGAAAGAAAGAAAGAAAGGAAGAAAGAAAGAAAGAAAGAAAGAAAGAAAGAAAGAAAGGAGGAAAGAGAGAGTATATTAATAAAGAAAGAAAGAAAAGAGAAAGAAAGAAAAATGTGATTATTAAGAAAGAAAAAAGAAATAAATAACGCATAAATAAAAGAAAAAAGGTATGAAAAGGGAAAACGTGTAAGAAAGAAAGAAAGAAAGAAAGAAGGAAAGAGCGAGTATATCAAGAAAGAAAGAAAAGACAAAGAAAAATTTGATTATTAAGAAAGAAAGTAAAAGGAATGGAAAGAAACGCAGGAAGGAAATTAAAAATGAGGAGCTCACATATTTTTCTCAGAAAAAAAAATATACAATTGGCTGAGAAAACTTTTAACGAAAAACGAATGAAGGTGAAAAGTTGAAAGGAAATTGATAGAAGAGAGAGAAAAGGTCAGCAAACGACGTTTCTTGATATATATATATATATATATATATATATATATATATATATATATATATATATATATATATATATATATATATATATATATATTGCAGATAAGGTAAGTAGCGGCCTTTTTGCTTTATCTGATTGTAAACTCATTGCATTTCCCGCCTGTTGACAAACATGTACGTGATCAGCACCCAGTCACGTGAAATGCATTGTTAAAAAGCATTTTCTTCCTTCCCATCGTCTCCATCTTCCATCAGTGCCTAAAATTTCTGTAGGCTCCGCATCACTCTCTCTCTCTCTCCCCTCTCTCTTCCTCTCTCTATCTCTTTTTCGCTATCTTTCTATAATTTCTCGTTTTTCAAGCTCTCGTTTTGCAAAAAAAAAAAAAAAAGAAGAGAGAGGTAATTTAATTGTATGTTGGGTAATTCAAACTTCCGTTCATAAGGATTCTGGATGATTCAGATTGTTATTATATTATATTGTTATTTTATTTGTTGTTATTTTATATTTGCTTTTATTTTATTTTGAATGAGTCTTCCGGTACGATTGACGTTTGTAGCACTTTCTCAAAGAATAAATTGACTAAATAAACCGACTAAATAATGGTTTCCAATCATGTGTCAGGAATTCTTGTCGCCAAAAGTTAGGAAACAAAATTTCCGATAGACATAAATTATTTTGCATCGAATTAATTTTGCGATATGTCAGCAACTTCAAATTTTTTAAAATACATCAGAAAATAAATTTTAAAAAGTTATTAATAATCATTAGCAATGCATTTCCATTACATATAATGGCCCTGTTCTATCAGTAATGCTTACATTAATTCCTGACCATTGACAATCCCTTTCTTCCTCATTTGCAATGCATTTACATTATACATATAATAGCCCTATTCTATTAGTAATGCTTGCATTCATTCGTGACCACTGACAATCCCTTTCTTCCTCATTTGCAATGCATTCCTATAGTAAAATCATTAGCAATGCATTTCCATTATACATATAATAGCCCTATTCTATCAGTAATGCTTGCATTCATTCCTGACCACTGACAATCCCTTTCTTCCTCATTTCCAATGCATTCCTATAGTAAAATCATTAGTAATGAATTTACATTATACACATATTAGCCTGGGTACCTCCACTGATTCGCTAAATTATGAAATTCCGTCCATATAATCTTTCTGTAGAACCACATTTCTGTTGCTTGAAGTCTCCTCTTCATCTGTTAAGGAACTGCCTAACAGTTATTGCCATATAGAAGGTTTTATACTATATAGCTGTTGATCACTCTATCCTTTGTTTCTTATGGAGTTTTGCCTTCTCTTAATACTCTGCTTAGCTTTTGGAAGGCATATTTCACTATTCCAATACGTCATCGCATTTTGGTATTTCCTCTGTTAAAACACTCCCCAGAAAGTTAAATTTCTGTATTTGAGTTATTTTGACATCTCCGAAGCAATCAATGAATTCTTTTTTTAATCCGACATTATTATCAGTGTAAACTTTATATTTAGTGGTTACACGTGTTTGGATAGACATACCTACTATTTTAAACAGTGAAATTAATGCCAACCGGACTAGATCTATAAGTCCTACTAAGGAGGATCTGCCTCCCAACAGAAATCGAACCAGTATATACTTTTTCGTCCATCGGGATAACTACTTTTCGGCCACGTTTATTTTACCAATTAGGCCACGATAAGCCACCACAGCAAAACAAGCCTCAATTACATTACTTAAATAATGCATATATCTCGTTGGGGCATTTCAATGTCTATATCTGTTAACGCCATTTTCGTACCTAAAATTAAAAGTCTTTGTTAAGACTTTCGCTCTCCTCTCAGAACTGCGCTTGGTTATCCAGTTTGCGAAAGAAAGATGAAAAAAGATATAAAAAAAGCAAAAAACAAAAAAAGAAAAAAAAAAAAGAAAGAAAAAGAAAGAAAGAAAGAAAGAAAGAAAGAAGGAAAAAGAAAGAAAGAAAGAAAGAATGAAAGAGCACGAAAGAAAGATGAAAAAGAAGATATAACAAAAAGCAAAAAAGCATTAGAAAGATGAAAAGAAAAAAGAAGATATAAAAAAAAGAAAAAAAAAGAAAGAAAGAAAGAAATGAAAGAAAGAAAGAAAATGAAAAAGAAAACAAAAAAGCAAAAAAAAAGAAAAAAGAAAGAAAGAAAAAGAAAAAGGAAAGAAAGAAAGAAAGAAAGAAAGAATGAAAAGAAGAAAGAAGGAAAGAAAGAAAAAATGAAAAAAGAAGATATAATATAACAAAAAAAAAAAAGTATAAGAAAGAAAGAAAAAGAAAAAAAAAGAAAGAAACATCTATCAGAGGCGCTATCTAATTTTAGGCAAAGGAAGTGTAAAGAAATAAAGAAAGAAAGTAAAGATATATCAGAGGCACTGTTAGATTTTAAATAAATAAATAAATAAAGAAATAAATAAAGAAATAAAGAAATAAAGAAAGAAAGAAAGAAAGAAATAGCATAAAAGAAAAATACGATGTAAAACAAAGGCACGAGAAAGATAAAAAGAAAATTAAAATTAAAAGAAAAAAAAAGATGGAAGGAAGGAAGGAAAAGAGAATGAAACTAAAAAACTTGAAAGAAAAGAAGACAAATAAAAAAAGAACGAACGACTCTACAATACCCGTGGAAACTCAACATTTTTATTGTTAAAAATTTGTACAATTTGAGCAATTTTAATGATCACAAGACAAGGAAGAAGAGGGTACAAATGAAAAGATTGAAAAATTGTCAATGTTTTTCATTTCACTGAAGCAAAAATTAAACGACAAATAACATTATCACTTTCTCTATCTTCTCTTTTTATTTTGTAGTTTTTTTGAAGTTTTTTTTTTTTTTTTTTGGAATAGAGTTTAATTTAAATTGTAGGATATTATATACATTAATGCCATGAAAGATCTTTCATGTTGGTTGAATTTGTTTAGCGGCATATCAACCTCTATATGTTATTTAATGCCGAAATCTAAATAATTTGAACGCTATTGTATGCATTCAACTACAGATAAAATCTATTACTGGTCACTTTGTTTTAAAAATGTATTGTTGCTCATTTTACTATAAATATGTATTGTTGGTCTTCTTTTTTTCTATAAAATGTATTGCTGGTACTTTTACTATAAATATGTATTGTTGGTCTTATTTTTTTCTATAAAATGTATTGCTGGTACTTTTACTATAAAATGTGTTTTTATACTTTCATAGTGTTTTGTTTGGGGGCTCACTCTTTGCCGATAACTGGGACCCTAACAGGTGCTACCACCCAGAGTTAAGTTGGATCTGGGAACAACAGCAATTAAGAGGTGGTTCCACGCTCCTCAAAACCTCAGCCAAAGTCTTTGACTGCCATTGACAGGTTCCAATCCTGAGAACGAGTGACTGAGGATTTGGAAAACCACTCTCCCATAACTACCTGACCTGCCAAGATAATAGCAACCAAATCTGTTATTCTCATTGTCTACCTTCACATGGTATAATGAAAAGAATGGGAGAATTAACACTTGGGAAAACCACTCTCCCTTCTCAGGCAAGAGCATTCAAAGTCTGTTACTGCTATTGTCAACCTTGACAAGCCC